TGTGACTTATTTAGCAGTGTACCAACTGTAGATTTAAGGGCATCATTTATTTTATGTATTAACTAGTAGCTGGGTAGTGTAGTTGGTATAGTGACCGGCTATGGGCTGGAAGACCAAGGGGTCAGAATTCGAGTCGTGGTAGGGTCAAGAATTTTCTCTTCTCCAAATCATCCAGACCAGCTCTGAGGTCCACCCAGCCTCCTATCCAATGGATACTGGGCCCTCTTTCCCTGGGGGTTAAAGTGGCAGAGGCATGAAGCTGACCAGTCGCCTCCAGCTAGTGCTGAGGTCAAGAAAATGTGGATCTATACATCCACTCCCCCATATGCCTTCATGGCATAGTGCTTAATTTGTTGAGCATAGGAACAACTTTACCTTTTTTAACTGTAGTCTAGAGTGTCTACACTTTAAGGATTAATTGAGCCTAATACTAGTGATATGTATGAGAGAATGGATCATAGTACATTTCTGTGTATTACAATAAACCGTAACCGGTTTAGGTTCAGAAGTATGTTTACCATCTGATAGCAATGGAATTACGTTTGTGAGGAATACCCCATTTCATCAAATGAAGGTGCTGCCTGAGCTATGAATTGTAGATGGTTACTGTGATGAAGCTTAAAATGTAATACAGTGGAACCTCGCTTAACGAGCGTAATCATTCCAGAATCTTACTCGTAATGCGAAACACTTGTTAAGCGAAACAATTTTTCCCATATAAATTAATGTAAAATACGATAATGCGTTCCATGCCAAAAGAAATACTCAAAAAATTTTATGTATAACGTTTATTCAAAGAAAATTATATATACATTGTTAAGGAGCGTGAATCATCTTCATCATTTCTTATATGCCTTGCAATTGCTTTTTGTTTATCCATATGAGGAGCAACCTTTCAACATCATCAAGAATACATAACTGTTGTGTAGATATTCTTGTCACTCCCTTTGAAGGATCTGTCTCCTTAATCTTGTCCTTGTTCTTGAGGATAGTGTAAATCGTTGATGTAGACCGATTGTATGTGTGTGCTAGATCAGCCACGCTCACACCTCGTTCTCGCTTTTCAATGAGTTTACGTTTCATTTCTACAGCTATTTTTATTCTCTTATGGCTGTCTTTTTGCGGCTTTTTCTTTGGGGACATTTTTGCAAGGGTTATTAAACTTTGCACAAAAAAATCTAAAATAATATGTCTGAACACAAGTTTGGAAAAATGTGTGATCACAAGCGACACTAAGATGCTAGCGGAACGAGTGCTAAACACAGACTGATGTAGTAAGTGCACAATCCGGGACTTCCCCTCTCATCACTCGTTAAGTGAGTCATTTTTTACAATTTGTTTTGCTCGTTATGCGAATTACTCGTTATGAGAGGTGCTCGTTAAGCGAGGTTCCACTGTATTCCCTGTAAAGTATTTAACATAGGTACAGAGAAATTTTTGAGGCAGAATGATATGAAACATAAAAACCTCTATGGGCAAAATGCAGAGTTTTTGATGTTAAAGTAGGTGGTATGTATAGCAACTATTGTGCTTGAAGGATAAAACATTAATCCTTTGAAAATCGATTTCTGCAAGAAAAGGAAGATATTTCAAGATTACGAATTATTGCATAACTTAACTGGCAGACATAATGTATGCAAATGTATTCTTCATTACTTTAGTGATATAATGTTGCTTGTAGATCAAGAAACTACTGAAAGCAGCAGGTCAGCCCTAGATATTGGTGACATGATTGTATTGTAATAACTGAATTGTTCTGCCCAGTATTTGTAGAGAAATAATCATTGAAAAATGTAGATCCTGTTGCCAAGATCCTTGGCATTGCAGCAAATCTCCATTTGAGTGGCACTGCCTCCCTAATAACAGTGCTTTCATTCTTATTTGGTTGTTAAAAGAAGAGAACTTCCTTGCTGGCTATGTAGGTGATCACTGTTCCCTAACCACCTGAGAGATGTTACTACCTGTAACCATTCATTATGAATATGAATATTCATATGAATATGTGACTGGGACTATATGTCGTAAGTTTGGATTAAGGAGATAGTCACATCTTACATTCAGAACATAATATACACTCATTCTTGATTTGGCAACAGGATGCAGCCACCTGTGACTTTTCCTAGAATTTTATATGTTTTTGAGAAAATGACTGGGCTTCGGCAACATTGTATTTGACATTGTAGGCAAGCTATGAACCAAAAGTGGGTTGGCCCAATACCCACAATAAGCTGATTATACATCAAAGAGCTGTTAAATATGCCGTTTGTATTTTATGGCTAAAATCTCTTAGCAAATCCATCTGATTGGGAAATGCAAAATTTTGAGACCTAGTTTCTGAACTGGGCCAATAAGGCATGTTTGACGGAGGTAACTTTTGAAGGAAGCTGAGGCTGTGAGAAGCTTGCTGCTTCAGAGCAGAACAGTTCCAAAAATACTCAGGTATCGACTTAAAAAGCATTTGGACACCAAATCTGTGCTCCACAGAAATTCCGACCAAGTTGTTAGACTATCGTACATATTAAATTGTTTAGTATTTGACTATGAATTCAACTTAAAAACTGCCATAAATTGTTTAACATTATCAGAGTGGATCTGCAGTCATTTACATATCAGTGTAACTAAGTGTAATTCTCTGTAAGTGTTCTTTTAACAACTGAACCACCAATTGGCAGCCGTTGTCAATGCGTGCAAGTGTGTGCTACAAGGCCTGATAAGACCCAGGGACAAATATCCTGTTCTACAAAACAAGCTAGTCATCTCTCTACATATCCCTACCAGAAGGCATCATGCAGATTTGTAGCCACCTCCTCCTGGTGACTACTGGCACCCAACCAATCTCAACAACTGTGGAAGGGAAGGAGGTAAGGATAAACCCAGCAAAGGCGAGTTCTACAAGTACAGACGTAGCAGCAACCTGAAAGCTGCTGCAAGTGGCACTTCCACTGCTGCACCCTCAACACTTCCCAAACTCACCAACTTGTGAAAGACACTCCCTTCTATTTGGTGTGCCTGTAGAGGAAATGTGCTCGCTTTTGTCTAGTAGTGTGCAGATAGGGCATGATCAGAAGGTAATGCTAAAATATTAGTGGTTGAGACTTTTTACATTTTTTATGGAAATATAACAACATGAGGCAGATTCTTTCGTATACTGAGATTTCTGCAGTTAGTGATGAAAATAATGTACCTCATGGAACAACACAAATTGTGAGTGATAATGAAAATGAGTTTAGCAGTTGATGAAATCATTGTGTTGTTCAAGGATAGGTAAAGAAAGAGTTATCCTTGCATTTAATTATGTAATTAAGCACTACATCCTGAAGATATATGAGGTATTGGGGACATAGTTTCACTGTTCCTAACCTCAGCACTAGAGGCAGGTCAGCCTCACGCCCCGACCGCTTTACCCCTGGCCAAACAGACACTAATACACATATATTTATGTATTTATTTCGTCTCTATAGATCATTGTTACATGATATAGGACAAGTTAGATACTATATATTGGCTGATTACAATAAGAGAATAAAGCCACAATACTTAAAATTGTTTACAGTAGATTACCCTAGTTAAGATTTCATATAGTGTGAGGTGGAATCCATATTAGGTCCCCCTCGGCACATCGGCTTCCATATGTCCTATTGTACCTTTACTGGTGGTAATGCCTATGGAGATTTAATGGAATGAGGATTGGCAGGGGAAACCGAAGTACTCGGGGAAAACCTGCCCCAGCGCCACTTTGTCCATCACAAATCCCACATGACTAGATCGCAGCGGTGGGAAGCCAGCGACTAACCGCTTAAGCTGTGGCGCAGCCATTCAATTCAATATGACAATATAATAATAAATGACTATAATAATTTAGCAATCTTGAAGGCAGTTTCTGTGGTCTTGAATCTCCCTTAAGATGGCACTAGGCAGATAATTCCCAGAAGCAGTCACGAAGTGTTATTTCCTGGAGAGAGAATTGAACTGAGCAGTAAGCGTTCTCTTGAAGTACGGTCTTCCTTTCAGTGTCATCTCCCTACAGAAGTAGGGTTGGGGGATATCCATGACATGAACACAGTTATTAGAAAACAATTTGAACTGTCCAACTCAGTAAGAACGTATACACTCAATTGCAAAATGTTGTAAGCTAATGAAACGTCGTATTAAAAACTGAATTCTATGCCAATACAGCTGTGAAGTTAAGATTTTTGAAAATAAACCTGAGACTTGGCGGGGGGCCAGTTGGTCATTGCTGACCTATAAAGACGAAATAAATAAATAAACAAACATTCTCAGTTTTTCAAGGTAGATACGTTGCCAGAAAATCAGTTCTATCATCCTGCGCAATACAAGCGTTATGTGGGGACTAAAATAGTAAGTTCTTCGTGCTGCGGCCCTGTCAAAACTTCACTTTATCAGGCCTTCAGCGCAGATTATTATGTGATATGCAGAACTGAAGCCATTCATCCCTGTTCATCACTGTGCATAGGAGCTATCGGCGAGTGTACAGAGGTGATATGCCAGATAAGAAAATAATGAAGGCCCGGTTTTACAATTTTCTAACGACAGGGAGTATACACAAATACACAGCCAGCATGAATGGATGAGAGTGCTTTGGACGAGCAGGACAAATAAATCTGACATGAGCGGACATGAGTAACAGAGGAAGCAGAATAAAACCGTCAAGAATTCAAGGGGCTGCAGGTACTAGATATGGCGTTCCAGAGGTCTGCACAAACGTCTGCATCTATTTGTGAAGAGTGCAGGTTGTCCCCATATCGAAAGAACTACACTATTGACATGGTGCGTTTGATCGGCATGTATCCTGGCATCCTTCATAGCGCTTCATAGCATTGTGTTCTCTAATAACGCTGCGTTTCACCAGACGGGAAACGTTAGATGGTAGAATTAATGCATGTGGGGCTTGGAAAATCCTCGCAACTACGACAGTTCGTGAGATAAGTCCTAAAGTGAATGTTCGATGTGGTTTAATAAAAGACAGAATCACTGGGCCACATTTTTTTTTTCGGAGAGGATACAGTAGCGCACGTACTTGCCTTGTAGAAATAGTTTGTGTACCTTCAAATAAGCGATTGCAGCCGATCATCATTTACCAATTTCGAGAGTGGCATTCCACATCTACAATACGCCTCTTTGATCGTAACCAACTTCCGAATTTCGACCAGACCGGAGTGGGTGACAGTGGCATTACTTGTCAAACAAACAAACAAAATAGTTAATTTGGATGCATTCTGTGTTTCACCACGCTTGTTTTAGGTGCAACATGTCGCAATTGAATTAGTAAAATTACCCGTCATAACCTGTAGGTACTTCGCTATTTACATCATCATTACGTACGTATATTACTCTAATTCGTGTTGTGAAGTAATTAATCTCTTTTATCAGGAAAACGCTGGCTCAGGGGCTGAAGTGTGAATAATGGACACTAAGGAGAGTACAACTTTATTTATTTATTTATTTATTTACGTACTTCATATCCATGGATCATTATACACGATATAGGACAAGTCGAACATGCTCGAGAACCTATTGCTGTTCCAACAGTAAATAGAGAACAGGTATGCCATTTTCCATAATGTTCTCAGTGTGAAGTGAATTGCAGTTCCTCTGTAAAACATTTTTTTATTTACCATAAAGCAGTGGGGTAAGGTAAAAAGGTAAAGCTATCCCTGTAACAGGCTGTGGAGGCCCATAGGTTGTGAGATGTCGAGGCTCCCACATTTTCTAGCCAATCGGCTCACAGATCACGACCACCGGCGAGTCATGTTTTCTCTTTACAGCATCATCTAGGGTTGCTTTTGAGTTAACCCACTATAACCATCTTATGGTTGCTGGGATTTCTTTTATATACATAAAAAGAGCTAGAATATGAAACTTGTTAGTCACTTTATCTAATGTGGAGATAGGAATATGTTGATCCACATGTGACATGCCCCTGTTTGTCTTCACAGTGTAGTAAATGGATACATGTGTCTCTCCTAATATCTTTTCAAATATTTGCCTGATTTTTTATGAGGTTTGTTGTGAGTGTTTTTCTGTTGGAGGGCAAGTTACCAACATACATTAAATTTCTATCTGTGGCAGTACCCTCAGGATTCAATGGAGTTTGATTAAATTTGACATTACTGTCTAGATGTAACATAAGCGAATTTATTTCTTGTCCATCATGGTCCATTATATTCCTTACTTTTCTTTACTCAACTTTATATGACACTTAAATTGAATATAAACTTTATTTAGAAGCCTTCAGTCACACAGAAACTTTGTATATGATACAAAATGTAACTCACATTAAGACAATAACCCTTATGTACCTTTCCAGTCTATTTATACATAAATGATTTACCCCAACATATAACAAATGGGGAGGTTGTTCTCTTTGCAGACGATACCAATATATTGGTTATTGATAAAGATAAAAGCATCCTTCAAGATAAAATAAAGAGAATTATGATCCAACTGGAATCTTGGTTTTAAAAAAACAATATGATAATAAATAATGATAAGACTAAAGCTATGTTATTACAGTTAAAGAAACCGCATGACATCTCAGGGCCAGATATTATTTTTAATAATATAAAAATTAAGTATACATCTCAGTTTAGATTTTTAGGTATTAATATAACTCAGAATCTCAAATGGAGTGTACATATTCAGTCCTTGTGTTCAAAATTGAATAAGGTATGTTATATTATTAAATCTTTGAAAGATGAGGTAAGTTTACATATACTCAGGAATATATACTTTGCCAAATTTCAATCATTGGTAAGTTATGGGTTGATTTTTGGGGGAGGAGAAAATGAAAGTATTAAAGTCTTTAAAATACAAAAAATGATGCTTCATTTCATGAAAGGTGTAAATAACAGAGTGTCATGCACACCTTTATTTAAAGAATTGAAGATTTTAACTATTACGTCCTTGTACATCATAGAGGTGTTGTGCTATTTTAAGAGATATAATATATACACTACGAGAAATACCGATTTATACAAGTATAATACTAGGAGGAAAGATGATCTTCATGTACAACAATGTAACGCATCAGTTTATAAGAAAAGTGTTATTAATGTGGGCATTAAAGTATATAATACAGTGCGTACAATCAAGTGCGCGCCGCGGCTGCAATTTGCCGTGAGTCATACCACCGCAGAATGGATGCAACTCCTCCCCGCGACTGCAGTGCCGTTCCCCGATAGCGTCAGTGTAGTGGTGTCGCTGAGTCTCCGTCCATCAGTTGCTCTACATGCACACATTTATAAGAATACAGTAAAAAGATAACTTACCGTGGTTTATAACAGGTGCTGAAAGTGACCTCCTTCTGCTTGCAAACATGCCGCGCATCTCACAAATAAATTACGTGACACTCTCTGCAGTTCGTCGACGGTAATTGAATGAATTACGCGTGTAATTTCATTTTGAAGACTATCAATGCTGCGGGGATTATTTTTGTAGACTTTTTGCTTCAGGTTGCCCCAAAGATAATAATCAGAAATACTGAGATCTGGGGATCTGGGAGGCCACAGTCCTCTACTGACAATTCTGTCTTCAAACACTTCCTGTATTGCGACCATGGATGCATTAGCCGTATGTGCTGTAGCGTTGTCCTGCTGAAAATACCCGTATTGTCTTTCTTCGGCATTCAACTGATCGAAGAAGGGATTCAGTATGTCATTAATGTACCGATCAGAGTTCACGGTATCGTGGAAAAATATGGGGCCAATG